TTGCGTCGGATTGGAGATTGCCCTGGCTTCGCTGAATTTGTTCGCCGAACGTATAGAGTGCAGAAGTTCCTTCATCGACGTAGCTTGCTGCGTTGCGTTCGTCGTCGGCGGGCTTACCAATGAGACGGACCGTTGTTTTGTCGTCGCTTAAATCGGACGATGTTCGTTGAAGGGCTCACCAATGTGGCGGCCCGTGATCTGACTCCATTCAGAGTGTATTATATGAATGTTTGCTATCACCTATTCTCGTATATCATTGTCGACTTAGATCGCGTTATCCAATAACGGAATTAAATAAGTCGAATAACGAGAATTGACTTGACAATACATATATTTCGTACATAAAGCGACTGAAACAGAACCAAGCAAAACGACGCGCGTGGAAGATGGCTGGGAAGCCAACTCCATTTTTAGTCAAGAGTTACTTCATATTTATAGGCAGACAGAATAAAGCTACAGACATGTGATTAATGCGATAAGAAGGGCACACACATATACGCTCATATAAAAACAGTCAGGACTGATAAGCGAACAATTAACAAGGTCAAAATATGACTCAAATAAAATGAATTAAATAGGATGTCCACAAGTTAGAATAAGGTAGATGGGCTTGCCATAATCACTGACACTACAATTCTTACAATCCAATATTGAAACAACTGAAAGTATAAATATAATTCATAATGCTTAACTTGTATGTCAACACCTGTTATAACTTCTGATCACCGATTGGAGAGCAGTGACTTATCGATCAGGACAATGACGCGTAAACCCGTATGAGTTCTGATTGGTACTGGTAGCCCAGCCAGTTAAGTTCAGAACACAAGTCCCAGCCTCTGCGATATGAATCATGCATTTCAAACATACTCTGTTTATATACCAATCAATCAGACCATAGTGTACCATAAAATAGAAAATAACATTGTACAATATTGACTAATAGGAAAATGATACCATTTCAAGTTTAAGAATAACATTAAACTAAACAGGATAATTTTTGGGATATTTTTCTGAATATCCCAACAACACCATTTAAACCTGAATAAAATCTATGATATAAAATCATTTCATTTTTAACTTAGTTGCTTAGCTATAAGTATACATTCAATTTTCAGAATATATTCAATTAATAAATCACTAAAAATTGGGAAACCTTGAAAATCTTTACGATTGATCAATCAACAGACATCTAAATAAAACTTCAAATTATTATGATTCATCATTGACAACTAAATCAGTAAATAAGAATTGATTAGTTCATGTTTCCAACTTTAATCATTTTAATGTTAAAACATGACTATTATTAATGGTTGTCAGTGATGAGATGAACACATTTCATTATTTGTATCTTCTTATTAACATTAAGTTTTTTTTCTACTTACATAACATCCATCTATAATACTCGGTTATCGTTGTAATTATAACACTTAATTATTACCGGTTTATATAAACTTGTATCTTTTCATTAAAAAAGTGCTCATAGAAATTAAAAACAAAATATATATACTATCAGTGTTATGATAAGAAAATTTAGGCAAAGAAAGGAAAAAAAGAATAAAAAAAAGGAATTTACTACTTCACTCTTAAGTATGTCTGAACTTGTAAATTATGACAAGAAAAAACAAAAAGAAAAACAAAGAAACTTGTATTAGATACGTGATTAGAACTATGTGGTTGTGGGTATGTTCATATAGGAACTATGAATAGATTTTTAACAGGATTAAATAGTAACTTATATTTCATGCTTCCTCTCCTGTACATATACATTCTTATATATAATGTGGACAATACAAACTAATAAATGAAGGAAAATATATGTAGATAGCTAGAAATATAGAAGCAATGTGGTTTTGTATGCCCCTATATATATATATATATATATATATATATATATATATATATATATATATATATATATATATATATATATATTAATGTATGATTGACTTGGAATAACAACATAAAAAAGAAAGGTAAGATGATAATACTGGAAATTTTCCACCATTTTTAATTATGGAAAATAGCCTTAAAATCACTCATTAAACTTCATTAACACAATAATAATAATAATAGTGATTGTAATTGAAATTATAATTGAAGTATAAAAATTACAAAGAACGGAAATAATAACGTGTAATTTTCAAAATAGGATTCACTCTAAATCAAAATAGCGTGATAATCGACATTGTATGATTTTATTGTGTTTTTATAAATGTATAGGTGTGTATTATTATGTGCTTATTATTTTCCTTACTATAACAATGTATTTACATAATAACAGACTATTATATATATATATTACTTCAGTAATATGTGTTGATAAACATGAAATTGTCGTGCTATAGTTTGTTAGCAAAAAAGGAGCAATTATATAGTTTCCTTGTATTTCAAATTAAATTAACTTTGATTAATTTTAAACGAATAAAAACAAGCAAACAAAACAAATAACAATCTTACTAATTGCTATCCATTCTTGCTTTCAAATAAGCAAAACAGTACTCATTTGAATAGGGATTTTTGTTTTTGTATTTTAAAAAAAGATTATACAAACTAGCTATTCTATGCATTTTCTTATCAATTCAAATTTTAGAATATGAATAGGAAACATATATTCTCTTTCATAGAAAGTGAATATTGAGATTAGTTATTTTGTAATGAAAAAAACAGTTTACATAACTAATTCAGATAATAATTCAAACTCATAATGTATACATTATTATAAAATGTTTGCTGAAGAGTCCCACAATAAGACGAAACGGCCGTCCAATGCTTTCAGGTTTTTCATGATAGTCTAACTTCAATTGAATCATGATCTCAACTATTGAAATGTTTATTTGTTTGTTTCTATAGTGTTTAAGTGACCAAGAATAATCTAGTCACGATTCATATTCGTTGTCTACAAATTCCATTTATTTCTTGGACATTGATTATAACAGAGTTTAAATTGAATGAATAATTCCTCACTAGTAATCATTTATCTTTAGAAACTAGACCTTTAACTCACAATTCATTATTTCGAGTGCTCACATTGAATTAAAAATCAATATCAAACTATGTACTGTAGTGAACAGAACACCAGTGGGAACAATCGAATGTAATTAACACAAAATTGCAGGACTTATTAATAAAATCTAACAATCATAAAGTAAATGCTTAATTTGCAAAATGTCCATTAATTGTCCCAAAATGACTCAGACTTCAGTGTTTATACATTTTCATACAAATTGCATCACGTTTCTATTCTTTATTGTTCGATCCTCTTGTCTCTCTGCTGCCAGACCTTCTGTTCACGACTAACATCATATGCTACTTATGTCAATAGTTATTTTACTTTAGTTCTTAAAAATACTGATCAATTAAAATATTAGTAGGATCAAGTTTCATTAGAACAGAAAACTTTCATTCCATCCCTCTTCAAAATTGTAAACCACCAAAATGGTGTGTCTGATTACATCATCATCGTCATCATCATCATAGCTTTTATATTTTATAAATTCTGTAATATTTAAAACTATAAATTTTTGCTACTACACTCATACTAAATGACATTTAAAAAACTTGGATTATTTTCAAAAGAATATATCTCAATCGTTTATTACTAATACTCATTGTTGAGCACTTATACATGGAATGAGGAACCAATGCAATTCTCATGACATATAGTAAGAACTCAGAAGACTGGTACAAGTGGCCATTTATTGATTTAAAATTATACATGATGACCCTAGTCAAAAATACACTGATTTATACATTGATTGTACAACCATTTTGACTATTAATTAGGAAAAAGTAACGTATATGAAAAATTTATATGAAAATTCGTCAATATTAGGAGGAATAGTTTGACAAAAATTGGGCGCCGAGAGTATGTATATGGAAAATGTCTAGACTTATAATAAATTGCATGCTGCATGTCATGCTGAACATTATTAATTTTTCTGGTTAGCGTTCTTTTTCGCAAGTTAGTTTTCTACGAGATGGGGTCACTAATCCCATACCCATCCCTCCTCCCTTATTCGGGCTTGAGACCGGTAGTAGCCCTAGATGAGGTCAAGGCGGAGTTGCTGAACATGGTTCACCATAATTTAATACAAATAATACCGTTTCTTGAATAACATGTCATACTGAAAAAAATATAACAAATATTGCATCGAGTAACCTTCATATTGAATTAAAAAACGGAAGTAATATTGAACATGCATCACAGTCAGTTAAAAGTGTAATTTTGCCCTTTCGTAACGTCATATCACACATGTAACTTAGATACTGACCACCTCAGAATAAATGTTTGATTTGGTTTAGATATAGCAACCATCCTACGACCAATTTTGATTATTGTTAACTTTGGCTAAGCCCTTTTATTAGCCTACATAACAGACAATGTTATTAGAATAGCAACAATTCGTCTATTTCTTTGTACTGTTACAATCACTAGATCACATGACAGACTCTAGCTAAAATATTGATTGCTTTAATGTCATTCGGTGATTCATCTTTCTCCCCATGTATGTACGCACTCAAAACCTAATGTCAGCTTTTGCTTTGTCATGCTGAGCCCTTAGGCAGTTTGACTATAAATTTGCATATGTAATTGCCCGCATATACATATTCGCCTCTTCGCTTCAAATACGCTTGATGTGCCTATAACTTTGTGATCTACGCTATCCTCTAATAAACTGTAATTACCGCTTCTCATGGCCTTCTGATTTCAAACATCGTTGAAATTTATATAGTAGCTGTTACAAAGGTGATTGATTAACGAAGCAAAGCCACTACATAGAGGTAATTTCAGTCACATTTAATTTCAAAATACATTTGCTAGTAAATCAATTTTTAACACAAATAGTACTATGTCAGTACTAAATGTTTACATTGCTCAGTCGGCATTACCAATTATTATCGGGTTTTCTTTTTTATTCCTTTTGTAGCCCCTAGTTCGGCTCCATATTCTGTTGAAACAGTTACCATATCAGATGATTCAGTTTTAGTGAGTTGGAAGCCACCAAAAGAAGCGAATGGGAAAATTATTGTGAGTTTTTAATCCAAATTCTTATTGTATAAACACAATACGCTTGAACTTGTATTCACATAACTAAATAATACTGATTGAATGTTTTATTTAGGTCTTCATGGTTTGAATTTTCTTTTCACTACTTGCGAAATGCTTTCCTATAATATTATACAGAAGATCTAAGTTCAGAGAAACAGTATCTGTGCATGATAATAAATAATGATAACCTTCGACTTCTCATTGCACTATCGAAAAATATGGGTAAACTCAACTACTTCCTCATGATTACTGTTCATGTGATGAGACGGCCAAATTAAGTTCTCATTATACTTTTTCGTAACTCCTTTATAATGAAGTCAGTTTGTAAACCAAGAGTATGAAAATTGAAGTAACAATATCTTGAGTAATATTGTTAGAAGAAACAGCTGAAAATGTCTACCACCGGATGACGACCTGTTGTTATTATTAAGTCAGTTGATGTATGAATCTAGAATTAATCATGGATAGGCAAAATTCTATGAATATTAGGCTGCATCTACAAAGAAACGATCTTACCATTTTTCCCGAGCAAGTAGGGTCAGAAAGGGTTATCAGTTGGAAAACTCATTTACTATCATTGTAACGGCAAAAATAATTTGAGTGTTACTGCCTGTTTTATGGCAAGGTTACATATGACTGCGTAATCGACCGACACACTAAATAATTGGATCACCAAACTAGATCAAGTTGTGCGCATATATATAACGTTCGGCAGACGATCGTGAAGCAGAGATTAGATGTGAACCACAATTTATTGAAACAAAATAGAGAACATTCATGCAGTATGAAGTTTGGGTATGATTATTATGAACTCTCTCTTTTAGATATAAGGATACTCTATGAACTTAGTACTTGTTCGTTGTCGCTCTCCGGACATTCATATCTTACCTTCACTGGTCACACAACATTTATGCTAACTACTTCCATTATCGGAAACTTCAAAGGTCAAAAATTTGATTGAATAGTACACACAAAATTAAGAATATTTTAACCCCTGTCTAATGCATTATAGTTAATCTGGAGTCACCAGTTAATAAGTTTTTATACTTTTTCAATGAATACTAACAACTACTAATGAAATATCGTATTGTGTAGGTAAACTTATAGGTCGCATAGAAAAACTAGTACAACTTACTGAAAAATGTTTCTCTCTATTCTTCTATTTCTCATTGGTATTATTACAATTAGTTTCTGCTCAAAAAACATTATTTTTATCCAACACATTTAGCTTTAAAGGTGATAATCCGAAAATGTGATCTGTCAATGTAAAGACGAGTCATGAATTCCAAAGTGATGATAATTTTACTGAATTAATTGATTATGACATTTCTTCAATAATCCCTAGATTCACAGTTGAATTCACGAATCAATCTTAGTTAAACAACTGTTGGAAACCTGGACGGCCGCTTCGTCCTAATATAGGACTCCTCAGCAGTGAGCAACCATGATTCCTCACTTAAGATATGAACACAGGACCTTCGATCTCGGGCATAAACGCTCAACCTCTAGATCACTGGGCCAGTATCTGACGGTGTTAATGTTCAACCCTTCACCCATTGTTCAGTACTTCCAGGTTTTCAATAGTGATTTAGCTCAAATCGACTCATAAATTCGACTGTGAAAATACAGGAAACTCCACAAATCCCCATACTGATACGAATTCACAAATATTTGTAATTCTTAAAAATTTGGCTAACTTTTCACTGAAATTCTTAAATAGCTAAGCAATTTTTCATCAGGAAAAGCGTCTTGTTAAATCATATACACTGGTTATAAATTGAACACTAGATGAGATGAATCACCTGTCTCTTAACAAATTTTAGACTACTCAATATTGCCTGTCATAAAATTTGTCTTCAGTCGTATTCAAAAGGACAATCATCAATGTCATTATAATTGAGTGATAATATAACCTAGAAATAAAACTTTATTGAATGTTACTTTCACTAATATTATTTTTGAAAACTACTCTGTTTTCAAAATGATTGAAATGATCTATCTTACTTTTCTGAATCTTAACATCAGGAAATTAGTTTTCTACATTTTAGTCATAGTTATGTAATACCAGATTAGAAGAGTTATTACCAAGTTTGCACTTTGCTTCATTTTATTATCTGTGTTCTGTCCTTGAGAGAATACTTATCTCGATGGATGGCCACGATCAGGTTTCTTCCAATATGGGTTCGATAATTTTACACTTCTATGTAACTACTCGTAAGTAGGTTAATAATACATCAGAAATATTCAACAAAACATTGCTCATGATGAATACCTATGAAAATGTTTTGATGATTTGATTTAAATCTGAAAGTTTTAATATGAATACATGGGTTATCAAGACAGTATCTTAGGTTATTTGAATGTGTTAATAAGAGCATTATGATGACAATATGTGTTCTGTTTACATAACTAGTCGATCTACTCATTACATTGCTTACTTTCGCCTGTTACTCCCAATGGAGTATAGGCCATCGACCAACATTCTTCAACCCACTATGTCCTGGGCCGTGTCGACCTACTCATATGGTACTTTTTAGAGTAAAGTGACCATTATGCTAACGGTTATATAATCAAACCATAATAAGTCATGTTGTCGACCTAAATATCCATCCTTTTTATTTTTGGGACATGTATAAAACGACTGATTGATTTTATCCATAATAGAAGACTTCAGAAAGAAATTTGCGATCAATATGTAATCTATTACTATTGCTCACTTAGTGTTTGGTTACTAAAAAATCTATGGTGTGAAGTAATTTTTCATACTGTCAATATTTATAGGATGTGTTTGTTTTGAGTTTCATTATGCTATTAAGATTATATATATGGGGTTGTACAGTATATGAAAGTAAAAATATCTTATTGATGACTTGAAATGTAATACTTGGTAACAAAATTTTTATGGTGTCCAAAGTGTAGCAAACAAAGTTCTTACTGAATTTCGTCTAATGATTCATTTTCAAACCAAAATGTTTTGATTACATAACTCTCCAGCTAAATGTTCATGACAAAAATCTTATTTATAATCGTTTGAAAAAATATCATGCGCTGTAGACGAATCGCTGAAAAACTTGTTGAACTCTGAATACACTTAGACTCTTAAGAAAAGCAATAACATCGTTGGATGCCGGCTCAGTGGATTAGAGGTTAGGCGCTCGTGTGCGAGACCGATAATATCTGAGTTCGAGTCATACGGGGCCGGATCGTGGATGTGCACTGCTGAGTATTCCCACAGTAGGACGAAACGGCCGTCCAGTCCTTCCAGGTTATACATGGTGGTCTAGCTTCAATTGACTCATGAACTTACTATTAAATTACTATAATATCCACAAAAACCCCTTCTGATAAAAAACATTTACGTTTGACATACATAACAATGTTACATTCTATCAAAATGACTATAATTTCATACTGTCAGCAATTAGAATTCAGTAAAATTGAAGATTGAAAGTTTATATGAAAATTCACCCCTCTTATATATTATTGTCAAATTCATAAGTAACTTCTGATAAATTCCTTTAGACTCTTTTGTTTTTTATTTATTTCCATGATCACAAACATTATCACTAATGATTATTATAAAAGTCTACTAATAATCTATGCAATTTTGTGACTTATCCTGTGCTATATCGAACACAATATAAAAATTAATAATACTAAATATTCAAGGTAACTGTTCAATAGATTTAATAACCATAATTTGAACAGTTTAAAACTCCCCATAGAGTTTTCAAAAACAGTTGATATTTGAGCTAACAATTGTTTTCGAATAACTTCATTATCAGGCTCTACAATTATCAGTTCATAATTATTGTGATATTTGACAGAGGCCATAATAAGGCATACATTCATGTATTTGATAGTGTTGCATGTTAAAAATGGTGAACGTTTGCATCTGTTACAACATAAACACATAGTAGGAGAAATTCATTTTGCTAGTTGAGGTAACATTAATAATAATAATAATAATAATAATAATAATAATAATAATAATAATAATAATAATAATAATAATGTGTGAAAGTAATATATAATAAGACAGGTGTTGTCAGGGTAATTACGGTTTTTAAAAAAAATCATATGGTTTGGTAAAGTTGAATGTGTGGATTAAGAAGGATATAAACGCAGAAGGAATTGGCAAGAGGGATAAAAGGTTTATAACATCTAGTATAGCTATCTGGTGATTGATCTGTGGGCCAAAATAAACATATAGGCTGGATATACCTCTTCTGGATGCATAAGTTCGGTTTTCTGGAGTTGATCCAGGTGGCTTCAGCTACATAGAGGAGCCATAATGTAGCACATTGAGGTAGATTGTTTGAAACTTGATACAAAATAGAGGGAGCTTCATCCATTTTAATATGATGTTTACTATATATCAAGTGAGAAAGAATGGCGCTGTTAATAGTTTTAATGACTTCTTTTCCAAACCATGCTGGTACAAGTTTACGAGTAAACAAATATAAAGCTCTCTGAGTACGGCTTATGTAACTAGCTCTGCAGAAGCAGTTTAATTGGTTTACACACATAGAGGAGCCCATCATCAGTAACCTATCCTTGATTTTTTGTGTAAGTACTGGTTTGGTTGAGACTACATGCAACTTGGAGGCGTGACATGTCTTTTCAACAGATCTTTTGCGTGGACGTGTTGAAATGTTACTCACTCTATCGAGTTTAAGATAGAAAGTTTTTTTACTGACCGTGTCAGAGCGTTTTCTTCTTCTACCTTCAAGTAGAAATCTTCTGATGACATTTTCTGGATAGCCGTTATTTCATAATATGTTCATTAGTTTATCTGTTTTGTTATCTACGTTATCCTCAGGACATAATAGTTTGATTCTGTGAGTGAAACATTTAACCAAATGTATTTTGTATTGAAAAGGTGTAAAGCTATGAAAATGGGTACACTGACCTATCCATGTATTCTTTCTAAATACATTTCCTTTAATTGAACCGTCTATCCTTCTTGAAAGTAAGATATCAAGGAAAGCTATACTATTTTCGTTCTCCTCTGATCTGGTAAATTTAGTAGCTGAGCAAACGTTATTTAAGCCCTTCAACAGCTTATGTTTTTGTCGACACGATTGTCACACACGATTCGTGTGTCGTTTATGTATCGACAGTAATAATCTAGATTATCTAGAATGTCTTTCAACGTTCCATTTTTCAGTTCGTCTATAAAAAGTCTTGCTAATTTTATTTCCATTTCACTCGAATTAATCAATACTCGTTGAATACTTTAAAGATGCAATGGTAAGTATAATGACTTGGTTTTTTGTTACAGGGTTATAATGTTTTCTACAACAGAAATCCACAGGCTCCTTTAGATCACTGGCAAAAAGTTGGTACACAATTTGAAAGTGTCAAACTGGAAAAATTGTTCACATCTGAAACTTATCATATTCGTGTGGGCGCCCAGAATTCAGCTGGTGATGGTCCTTTGACTGATCCATATGAAGTATTAGTCAAATTTGGAAGTAAGTTCATTGTTTAGGTGCATAAAATTTACAAATAATATAAATATAAACACCTGATATTTTTATCAGTTCACATTAGTTACTTATTAGTAGTATGCATTTTATTTCCAAAATAGAAAAGGTTGGTAAAGATGAGATTTGATATTTTAGTAAACAGTAAATGATCATTTTTTACTATGAAAACAATTTTTATCAGGGAAGAAGTTATGAATTAATTTAAATTCACAGACTTTTGAATTCAAAACTATGAGTAATAGGACGTTAACTGTATCTTTTCTTCTGATGTAACCTTGCGTAATTCATTCAAGCGTTAACGATGTAATGTTATTTCTTGTTTTCAAAGATTTGATGATGATGATGATGATAAATTACAGAATAGGAAATCTCATAAACTTTTGCATACAATTAACAATAATAAAAAAGTTATCATTTAAATATACTGACTTTCTACATTCTAGAACTTACGTGATATTCTTTTACTCACATTGAATAATCTCACAACAAATGATTGATACCGTTGCCATGTTGACTAAGGTTTATTGCGAAATACTATGAGTTTGCCGTTTGTAAGCTTGTTTCACACTTGCATTTGAAATGGAATAGTTAATATCCAGTATATAGTTCAGCTGTTAAATATTAAATGTAAGGGGGTTAATGCCGATCAAGAGCTAACGTTTCGTGATAGTTGGTAATCTTTAGTAATACCTAACTACAATACTAGGGAAGATGGTGATCTCAGTACAAATCGAAACTTGGTGATATTACAATGTGAGTTTCATAATTGGATTATTTCTCAAAGGCAAAAATTATAACATTTGTCAGTCAGCGTAAATTATATACCTAATTTTTTTTTGAAAATCGATTGGTTACCATGATCTCGTAGTGAAAGCTGATAGATTCACTTCTTTTCACTAACTTTAATTGATGCCATAAGATTAATTCCACCTTATCATCAATTCAAATAAATTCTAGATCAAATGTTTCAGCTGAAGAATTTGTGTTAGCGGGACATCAATTGGACTAAAGCAAGCTCCATGCATGATTGCGTTGCTGCAAGCTGATTGACTAATTCTTATCCAATCACCGCTAGCCAGTACTTGGCGAACACTTTTGAATCTCCTCATGTAGAAACTATAAATATGCTAACGCTTTTCTTATTGCTCTTCTTAATTCCATCTACCCTTGTTATTTGGAATATAATTTCTTTTCTGTTCAACCGTGTCCTGATTTGTGGACTTGTTGAATGAATTAGTGTCCAAGATTACTAAGCAATAGGAATAGCTGGGTTGCAATAAGAAAGAATTACAACAGTTTGTGGCTATATATTTACATTTTGTGAGATCATATAAATAAACATAGAAAAATGAAAATTTCCTAAAGAACTGATATTTGAAGCCTGAAATTAAAATTTATTTCTATAACATATTCATCCGGCTTCAAAAGATTTAGTTCATGTGTTAGTTGATTCCGTCATATGACCAGACTACTGATAGAACACTCTAAAATTAGTTATCCTTACTGAAAAGAAATAATCAGGGTAACTAAAACGTGTGAGGTATAGCTAGAAGTTTTTTTCTAAAAAAAATTGTATACAATCAATCAATAACACTGATGAACTCAACAAAACCATGGCAATTGACTCATGATCTCAACTGTTTAAATAACTACAATCTCCACAAAACCCCTTCTGATACTAATCAACATATGCTCACTAGTGACTGGTTTCAAGAGGTATATCCTGGAGTTCTAGTAAGAAGCGGTGACCAGTATAGTTCAACCGGGTCAGTTGTGAGGTAGTAACTCACTGAATACAATGGTGGATGTGTCGCTCAATTTCGTGGATTAGTTGAAGTTAGACATTAACACCGTTAGATGCCGGCTCAGTGGTCTAGTTGGTCAAGCGCCTAGCGCGAGACTGGTAGGTCCTGGGTTCGGATCCCGCGAGGCGGTATCACGGGTGAGCACTGCTGAGGAGTCCCATACTAGGACGAAACGGCCGTCCAGTGCTTCCAGGTTTCCCATAGTGGTATAGCTCATGATCCCAACTGTTTAAAGCCATAAAAGTTGTCATTTTTCTATGATGAAATTAGTAAGCAATCGGTCAATATTAACTGAATTGCCCTTAACGAACGTATTTTCCTTTTGTTTTAATGAAGGATAACTTCGGATATCTTTATTGAAAATCGTTTCACTTAAGAATAATATAATAATGCTCTTTTTTAAAGTAGCATTTTCATTTTTAGTTATTCAACATTAAATCTATGAATTCTTAGTTGATGCATATGAAAACTATCATTTTCTCTTCATTTATGAATCATTTAATTGAAGGTCTGATACGATTCTAGTAGTAATAAGTTATTAAAAGAAACAATAAAAACCAGAAATCATCCCTGTTGGAGTTAATATCTGCATGGTTTAAAGTAAAGAATGCTTTGAACTAGTCTTCAATCATTCTAATTTAATCCATACTCAATGAAATAAACACTTTTTAACCAACTGTTATTGAATAAAATATTAATAACCCAATATGATAAGCATCAGATGAATTTATAGCGTATTTATATGATTAGTTAAGATTACTTCAATTTCGGTCGTTAGTTTCTTTATGTACATCAGTTTATGAATTATTGATTACTATACATTATTTTGACATTTTGAGAGATGATCTCATCAGTACTTAGTCAAAATTCTGATTTTCACGCTCACAACTTAAATTTACTTCTGATATAGTGCCATTTATAGAACGATGGCTCAAACCTGATATGTCTAAACAAGATTTATCATAAATTTGATAGTTTACCTAGAGTTTAGTCAGTAGAAAATATTTTGTTAATTGAGGTGATTAGTTTATTGTTGAGAATGTTTTCATCAATGAATGATTTCAGTTAATGAATTACTCAAACCAAGCATTTATTAATATATATTTTCACTTAGTTGGAAATTTATCAGCAGTGAGCATCCATGACCTCATCACAAAAAAAAAACAAATCCTACTAGTATAGGAGTTGGGGAGATTATTAAGTTTTTGATTGAGATCATGAACTGATTGATGTTAGACCACCTTTGGAAACCTGGAAGCACTGGACGTCGTTTCGCCGTGACCAGTGGAGCTAATCCGTGTCGGGTAGAGACAGGTATCTACCTCAGAACAATGGAAGATGGTCGCGCAACTTTGTGGATTGGTTGATGTTAGACACTATCACTATTGGATGCCGGCTCAGTGGTCCAGTAGGTTAAGCGTTTGCAGACAAAACCGAAGGCCCTGGATTCGAATCCCGCGAGCGGGATCGTGGACGCGCGTTGCTGAGGAGTCCCACAATAAGACGAAACGGCCTTCCAGTGCTTCCAGGTTTCCAGAGATGGTCTAACATCAATCGGTTCATAATCTCAATAAGAACCAAATCCTCTTTGATCATAATGACAAATATAGATTTTCTTTATCCATCAAAGCTTCTCATCACTAACGTATAGGAATTAGTTAAAGATCATTAATTAAATTGTTTTTACTTCTATTTTCTTTTTACCTTATAAACATCAAGTTTCTGGGAAAAAAATTTACAAAACTAATCGAAGTACGTCAAGTCGACTTTTTCTAGATTTAAACAAACAATTTGTTTCTATGAAAAAAAAGGAGAAAAGTAAAATTATAAAAAAAGATTTTGACAAACATTTTCGATGGAGTTTTTTTTTCATTTTTTTTTCTCACTCCATTTCGTTTATTTAAGTTACAAAAGAAAGTTGATCAGTCACGAAATAAGAAGAAAAATTGAAAAAATAAAAATGATTTTTTCTTTTTTCAATTATTTCTTTTTATCATTAGTATTTTTCTGGTTGTTTATTTTAATTTACTTTACATTAACCAGTTTTAATTCGATCTTAAATGAAGAAATAAACTATTTCAATAGTTGAGATCCTGAGTTAATTGAAGTTAGACCATCACTATTTCAATGTTCTGGAACTTCCCTTCCGAAACTTTATTTATTCGAAACAAAATTTTTATGACTTCATTAACTCTATTGGAATCTTCACTACATCATGATAGATATATTCATCTTTGATCATCCTCATATGTATGAGTATGGCAATATCTATAATAATGTTGATTTTCAAATATTTTAGGTTATAAGCAGCTGATGAGAACCTAACAAAATAAAATGAACTTAAATTATTCTGCAGCAATCTTCGTTCTTGCTTTGGTTAAGATAATAAAGGGAACTATTTGTATGCGATAAGATATTGCTTGAACTATTCTTATGACTAACATCATTCTAACCCTTTCATGAATTGATATATTTTTCATAGCTCTATAATAAATGAATTGTAAAGTTATCTTTATAGAATAAATGATTGAAACAAATGATGAGCAATGAAGGCATTAGCACAAATGTGCATCTACCTGATTTCTTACACCATATTAGGCATAATGAGATAAAATTTCAAAGTTTATTAAAAAATCAGTCGGAATAATAGTAGTATCAGAGGCAGTTGCAAACATTGAAAACTGAGAAGAAATAAAAAAAAACAGGTACGTACAGAGGAATAGTGGAAGTTAATATCCAGATTAAGATTAAGAATTGGGACGTTTTAAGATATATCATCCAACTCTTGAAATAACTGATTTTGATCACTTTAAGGATCTTTGGGACAGTCACTATCTATTAAAACAGCTCAATTCGAGGGTCAATGATTTAATGAACTGAAGCAACATATTGGTTAAGCATTATCTACTTATTTCCTAACCTATTCTTACTTCAAACAATATTGTATTTTGAGGTGGTTTATAGTTAAACACACGTAAAATAAGTTCTAGTTCACTCAATCAATGATTCACAATTTTTTTCTTAATACCCCATCTCTAACCTCTATATTGATCAGTCGTTCTCCTTATGATATGCATGCAATAGTTTAAAAATAACTCTGATCGCTGTAACTTAAGGAAAATTTTTATTACACCACTAATTTTTCCCTATCGAACCTTTTAAATCATAATCAATTGGTCATTTATTTCTCCTTATATTTTCTATGAATTAACAGCCACACATTCCATAAATGATCTTTTTTGTAACAATTAAACTTACATTGTGTAATAGATTATTTCACATGATATGAACTGATTAGAAAGTATGAAACCATCATCAAATCATTGAATTTGTTTGAAATGAATAAGAAATAACAAATAATTGAGAAAGGTTTACATGTACAAACTACATTTTAGAATATACAAATCTATTCAATTCAATAGGTTATTATGTTTCTAAGCATAACAAGAATGTAAAATATTTATAATAAATAATAGTATTGTATTTGTTACTTGTTAACATGTTTATTATTTTCCTTTTTTTGCAATTATTGCTTTAAATTAATGCTAAATCAGTTCCTTCTCAACCTCGTGAATTTACCGGTTTAAGCTTTAATCCAAAAGAGATACATCTTAATTGGATAGCACCTAATTTACCTGGAAAGATTAGTTTACAAGATTATTTATTGAAATATCGTATAGCTGTTGACATGAATATCGATAAAAGCAAACATCAACAACAACTGATGGAGGTCAAGTTGTCAGCTGATTTAACTGAATATTTAATGGAAAATTTAATTCCAAATTCAACTTATCACATTTCTTTAGCTGCTCGTACAAAATATGGCACAGGGATTGCAGCAGAAATTATGGTGCAAACCGATAGTAATGGTAAGTGTTAAATTATTTATGAATTTTAATTTCAACGACTGATATTAGTAAGGAATGAAAACACAGGAGGTGGACAACCATTACATATTAACATACAGAATTACAGAGTATTTTGGTAAAATATACGAACTATACACTGAATAATTCATTTGCGAATTTCCATCATTTGTCTTTCATATTCTGTATGATTCTTCCGATTCACAATTGTTTCCTAGTTTCGTTTTTGTTTTCTCTTCAATTTGATTTTCTTAGCCTTATGCTGCCAAAGTTTTCACTTTCGATTAGTGTAACATACTACTTATATCCATTGACATTAGTAGCATACACCACAATATTATATCAGTAAGACTAATCGACTAATGTTAAATAGATTATCTGAGTTTTGTTTGTGAACGCGATTTTTACAAAATTATTTGATATTTTAAGGGAAGTAAAAACACTTAACTGTTTTTGAATGTGCAATCGAACAAAACAAACGTTTGTTTCTAATTGATTTGTATTGATCGTTTGAAACTTCTCATTGGTGCGTAGAACTGAAATCTATCAATCTGTTTTATATATGTGTATTCCGTTCAAATGGCCTCAATGTTGTTATAAGCATTAAAAGCCTAGTTGGATAGTGGCCAGCAGTGGAATTAAGGATGCACATTTTGTCAAATTTAAGACTCATCAGTTGAATTTACCTGGATTTTTCCCTTTGTTTTAACATCATACGACCAACGTTTCTTTATCGAATACAAATTCATGGAGATGAAAATTTTTAGGTTTAGACAAATTGCTCTCGAAAGTTTATTTGAATTACGGAGGGACTGAGATTCTGCCATAGCATATTCAGTGATTGAGCTATGTCAGATTAAGTTAAATTTTAAATACACTTTAAACATTAAAGCTTTCAGTCTCAACTTTAATCAGGATTAAAAGAATTCACTGTAAATCTTTAAGGCTCAGTTTAGTTTATTGTGTTGTATTAGCTTGATAAATAAACATACTATAGATGTAATTGAAGTACTCAGACAAGTAACTAAATTTTATGCTTTTAATTAACTAACGATAAAAATGATTTATTCAATTATTTTAATTTTCTGAACACAAAATTCGTTAAGCACGTTCAAAATTTAGTCTAAGTCTACAATGATAGAAGATTATTAAAATGTAAGTCAAATATATAACTATAGTATAACTGATAAACATAATCATTTATAAGATCTAAGGATTTCGCGTTCACATAACATATCGTCGATTACTTGTGATAATAATGAACATCTTTTTACTATTTAACAACAAGTCATGCATAGTCTTATGCCATTGATTACTTGGTTTTCAATCAGTAAATAGACTTATTTAACTGTTATGCCAAACCTAATCACTTACTAGTGTTTATTAGTCAAAGTAGTCAACATCGAGAATTATATGCACTATTTGCTTTTTGGTATTATTTGAGATTCAAGAAACTATAAAAAAAGTTAATCGTGTTACTTTCTAATATGGTAACTAATCATTGGTGTGTGTCAACTATGAGATATTAGATGGTAATCGACAGAAAAGTGTGGATCTTATTCTCCAGCTAGCTCCTACTTATCAACAAGGTATATCAGCAGTTTTGTGGGAAAGGATTCTACGTCAATGATTTAAATACAAAATACAAAGCTCTACAATCAGATAACTATCCGTTGAATCTCTATGGGGATGATTATTCTGTTGGACTATGACGATTACAGAATGTTAAAGAATGTGATTGATATCGGTTAGATTGTGTCTTAAAATCCAAGACAGGAATTTCCTCCAATTTAGAATCTATTAGCTGGAAACTATAGCTAAAACGAAATAGCAAGGATTAATATCTGCCAATTAGGACTGATCAGCTTTTTGAATTATTCATTGACTTTTGATGTGATAGGTACTGGACATTACTACCAATCACAATTTAACAGCAACATTACTATTTAAAATATGTTTGTCTGGTCATATAACTTTCAAAATACATAACCTTAAGTCTTTCGCTTAGAATTATTGAACCAACAAAGAATATTTAACAGACCATCACTTTTGGAAGAATTAATTTCATATAAGGTAATAAAGAGATTGAATAAGAAGAATATCAAGTGGGAAAATATCTTCCTCGTTAAGAGTGATATTTACAACTTTAAAAAAAATAAACTCTGTCTATAAGACACGTTTATTTTCAACGAATGAAAACTATTCATTGTATAATAATCAACTCAAGTTACATTTGGAGTTTGATTATAAAAAATACCCATCTTGAAACAATACAATAAATTTAATAGATGAATTCATGAATCAATTGAAAGTGGACCGACATGGAAAACCTGGAAGCACTGGATGGCCGTTTCGTTCTGCTGTGGGACTTCTCAGAAGTGCGCATCTATGATCCAGCCCCTCGAGATTCGAACCTAGGGATTATCAGTCTCACGCGCGAACGCCTAACCTCTACACCACTCAGCCGGTATCCAAAGGCCGTCCAGTGCTTTCAGGTTTTCTTTGGTGGTCTAGCTTCATGAATTCGTCTATCAACTATTATCCACAAAACCCCTTTCTGATTATAATGCAATAAATGATAGTATAATCGGTAACATTTATTGAAATTTATCAATAAATGTGAATAACTCAATTTTAAAAAAATTTAACGAACAATCTCCATGTTTCACAACTGATTGATCACTAGGTGGTGATCAATGTCATGCTTGTCTAGTCCTTATTAGTGCAGATCGAGTGCTATCGATCATGTTGCAATGTGGCCACCAGTCTAAGTGACTCGACACTGTGGGCACTATGTATTGAGATTTAGATGGTGGTTGGAGGTAGTCGACAGGATAGCTCAGTGGTAACGTCTCTGACTGTGAAGCTGAGTGACACGAGATTGAATCCGCGAGGGAGCACCAGTTCCTTCAAGATTACAGGTACACCTTGCTGACGAGTGCCAAGTAGCACGAAACCCGGGTCCAGGGTTTCCTGTCGACTACCTCCAACCGCCATCTAAATTTCCATGTTCCAATAACGTTATAAAATCACAAACAATTGCCAAATAATCAATTCATAGCATTCATGGAGGTGAAATGAAGTTCATTCGATTAATCAACAATGGAATAGAAATTGAACTATTGGATACAAATTTTAAAAAAAAGAAATATATAATTATGTTGATTCAATTACTAACAGCCCCCGTATATATACCATATATTTTGTTTGCTTGTTGCCCATTAATTATTTTATATTCACATGGAAGATTTTTAAGCATGATATATACATATGGTCGACTTATTATTCAATGATCAATCTATACATCTACACAGTTCGACTTATATTTTTTTTTGTTTACAAACTTACTTATGATTACGTAAACAAATAGGTGAAACGTTTTCACAAGTTAGAAGAAAAAGCAATAAACAGGATGTTTCCCTTAGAGTGACCTTTAGTGTTAATCCAAATAATAAAAATATATTGTAGATGAATGCGTTTAATAAGCATCTGAATACAATTATGTATTATTCACATTCCACATTCTTTAATGATAGTAACAGTGAAGGTCATCCTCAGGTTACTCAACATATTATATTACTACATACAATGTTATAGGGAGGGGGAAGGGGATATAGACAGTAAATAATTATTGCGCTCAATTCAGGTACAACATTTCATTGAAAATGAAATGTTAACATAAACAAATTCCATTTAACCTTTTCATTGATTCGTTAGAATGACTATTAATAAATAAACTAAGTTCATTTCCAAAATATGTGTCTTGAAACTTATATATGGCTATTTCTTATATACTTAGATTTGGTAACCCACGCAAGTAGAAATGTGAAATTATTTCACAAAGACATTGAATACGTTTTTTTTATAAGTATAGAATACTTTTAATATGATTGGTTTCTAATATCAACTTCGAACAAAACGTTTTATTTCAGTAGTTAAATTGGGTGGAACTATTAGGAGAGTATTTTCATACTAAAGGATAAAATAAAGTAGTTTATTAAGGATATAATCTAATTTAATTTCACTATAATCGCTCAATATCAAGTATCTTTCTTTTACAGTTCTTGCTGTAGCTGTAGAACCTACCATTTTACTATGAGTCATAATAGACGTGTATAGATATGGATTAGGGTTTCGGAATATATGACTACTAGATACTTTTTCCAATATTTTGAATGTGTGCATTACTATTTAACAATGAGAAGAATAGAAATGCCTTAGACTAATTCTTTACTTGGTATTTTTTTTAACGCACTAATGCACAGCTTTGTTGCTTACACTTTTTCTTCCGAATCCTTTCTCATATAACAAATATCATATTCTAAAAGAATTACTGTTGGTGAAAAGCAGACAAATCATCTGAAAGTAGTTGTTGATATTACTAGGATTCAGCTATTGTATTTGTGATTATCCATTTAAAAGATGTCTTGTACATGTCAATCATTCAGCTGACTCATTTTAAATGAGTTTCTCTCAGAGAGCAGTCACTAAAGTTAGAATAACACTCGCTTCATTCAGTACATGTTCAGTTACGGAAAAAATTCTCAGTACATATAATCATTGTGAACTTTATGGACGACACAGTTGTCTGTGAAAATTACCAGTTGTCCGAGAAAGTCAAAATACATTGCAAAAGCAGATGGGGCATTATGAAGTACATCGTACTCCGATTAAACAATCCGGACCCATTGAACTGCGTGAAGAATTTCTGATACTTCTATAATCCATATGGCGGGGATGTGTGTTATCCATAAGACGCTTGGAAGTAACGGTACATGCTGTGATGGATAGTAAAGTATACTGCTAAATGTCATAAGGTCCAACACCAAGAAGTTATATTACTTCACGAATTTGTTGACTGCTGGTTCAAGTGTTGTCAACTAGTGTATAAATTCCGGTTGTAGTTGACAAGCTCATCATAACCGATGGTTGGAGATTCTTAATAACATGGTTCAAAACCGATGCCAGTGACTCGGCGATATGCGTTGTTTATTGCTCCCTAAATATCCAGTTTTTCAATGTTATTTATCAATAATTTGTTTCCAGTTACACTCCTGATATCGTTGGTCACTTTTACTCCTTATCGTTCACACCAATCGATTCATCACTAACACCAGACTGTATGTTTATTCAGTCGAAACTTGTATCCTGGATCCCATTGATGGTTGTAAACCGATTCTGCTTGCCGATGAAGAATTTGTTCATGTCAAACTCTTAGTTTAAGTAGGAAAAGATGTAATATTGATGACATTCGTTAAACTGTAATGATACAATTATTTTTCAAGTTCATATAGTGCCATAACATACCATTCATTTTCTAAAAGATAAGATTATTATTTAGGAAGTAGTTTTTAAAAAAAAATCAGAAATGACTAATTTATACTCTTCAAATTATTATATTTCATTCTTAATTCCATTCAGTTCCTGGACCACCCATTCTACACGAACTAAGTATTTTGGATTCATTCAGTATACGTATTCGTTGGTTGGCACCACATGGAGTTTTAGATCATATTAATATATCACAATATTTAAGTCGATTAAGTAATACTTTGACAAGAGCTGAAAATCCATCTAAAGTTTTACATTATTTAGTTCAATGGTCAGCATTTCCATTTACAGATTGGGAACAAAAAAAAATATCCATTAATTATTTATATCCTATGCAACAAATTTATGAATATATTATTCACGGCCTTTTATCACGTACTACATATCGTATTAGAATAACTGCTGTTGGATCAGAAGGAATGGGTCCTGCACTTGAATTAGGACCAATTAAAACTAAAGGCCAAGGTAAGTTAATTAACTGTATATATTAGATTGGAATAGATGTTTAAAGAATTCATGTATTAACTTTTATGATCCGAAATAACATTTTCTTTGAACGAGACAAGTAGGTCTTTTAAAATTCAATGAACTTGATATTTCATCAAAGATGACAATAAATGGATAGAATTCAATGTAGTTACTTTTAATGAACATTTACTGTATGAAATATAACACAGAATTACATAGTATAGTTATATTAGTGAATGAGTATTGATCAGTATTAATTTATACTAATCTTTCCTAAATGATTTCTAGTTATGAAATGGGCATTCATTGTTATGAAGGCAAATAATGTATAGACTTCAGAAAAACAAATAACAAATCAGCTAATTTGATTTATTTCCAGTAATACAAATAGACTGCAATACGAAATAACGTGCACTAATATACATCTTATTAAAGAATTATTTTAAAGCTAATTTCGTTTGTAGGATTAGTGTATTTGTAGATCGTTCACAGATGAACAGATAAAACACTGACTTTCGCACCTAATTTTAATCCAACTTATTATGAAATTACTATATTAAACTGAAACAAATGTAGTTGAGTTCATGAGTCAATTAAAGTTAAACCACTATGGGAAATCTGAAAGCACTGAACGGCCATTTCATCCTAGTATGGGGTTTTCCATGGTGGTCTAGCTTTAACTGACTTATGAACTAAACTATTAGATTACTACAATCTCCACAAAACACTCCTTTCTGAAACAAATGTCTTCAATATGCTGTCAGGTAAATTTGATGTATGTGAGAGCCCACTTTTGTATAAGGATAATTATAAGCCAAACTGCTCCTGGTTTTTCATATAGTAGGAAAATTTATTAACAAAATGTTTTTCATACATCATTTTTAACTGTGAAAGTTGAAGTTTTAGGTTAATATTGTTTTAATTTGCATATAAAGTGTTAATCATCTGTGAATAATAAGTTTACCGACTAGTGATAATTCAGGAATACATCAGATTACCATGAATGAATACTGTAACAACTCTTATGTATATTTTTTTAATAGACACATTAGTGCTGGTTGTGTGACAATTGTTGGTTAACCCAAAAAAAATAAGGAATGTTAAGAGAATTTGAAAGATCACAGTTCTTGGATTGGTTGTTATAATGGGATTTTCTATTATTATTATTATTATTATTATTATTATTATTATTATTATTAAACAAATTCCGTATTTAAGGATTATGTGTTACATAATTCTATAAAAATGACGTTTATTATAGATAGATTTAGATTATGAATGGCGAAACTGAACCAATCGATGTTAACACTTATCAAAGGTAATAGATCTTCTAGTCTATTAAAATTAATGATTCATGAACAAGATAAAATGCGAATAACACATTTTTTTGGTATTATATTTCTTGTGTTTGTAAACTTATAACACCTGAACAACCTAAACAAGCTAAATAACACTGAACATTTGAAACCTTGTAGTTTTGGAATAAATCAATATTGTTACTTTATTGATTTATTAGTCGGTATCAACATTTTAAACTCAAACACAATAATGAACATTCAACTTAACATCTAAAGATTTTTAAGTTATATGAGAAGTTAAGCTGATGTAACATCAAACTATAAAATATTTGAAAAAAAAATTCATGGAGATAGTTTTTTTCCCTTATCAGTACAAATCATACTAACATATAGAAACCGGATAAATATGTTATAGTAATTGACAAATATAAGATTCTCAGGAGAGATTTTGTGGAGATTTTAGAAATTTCACTGAATCATGAATCAATTGAAACTAGACTACCATGGAAAACCTGGCAGCACTGAACGGCTGTTTCGTCCTAAAATGAGACTTCTCAGCGCCTGGCGTGAGACTGATAGGTCCTGCGTTCGAATCTCGCAGGGTGCGGGATCGTGAATGCATACTGCTGAGGAGCCTCATACTAGGACGAAACGGCCGTTCAGTGCTGTTAGGTTTTCCATGGTAGTCTGGTTTCAATTGACTCATGATTTCAATCAGTGAAATATAAGATTCATTTAGGGATTTAAATATCTTGAGATTATTTACAATAATAATATCCATTGTCATTAGATAAATAAGTTAATAATTCTACAAAGTGATATTGTTTTCTATTTACTTTAATGAATATATTGGTTAAATATACAAGACAAAATGTTGATGTTTAAAAAAAACAGATCATGTTCACATTTGCTTACATTCATTTTAGTTGATCCAATTCAAAATTATTGATAGATAATATATTGAGTAAGGTAGGAATAGAAACTTTCAAATGACCTTGAAAATTCTTTAGTCTGCCTACTCAATCAGTCTCATCTTATTTGCTTACTAGATAATTACTGTATCAAATCGATAAGGTCTGTTATTATTCTTTTAATTATTCTCTTTTTTTTCTCTCTTAGATTAAAAAAAAATGTTTTGTTCAAACTACTTTAATCAAATGAAATAGGATTTCAAAGGGTATTCTATCTAAATAAGATTTTATAACAAAGATATCAAAGAGATTATACAACTACTTCCCATTGATTCTATTAAAGTTAATGTAAAATTTTAGGGATAATAAAAATAATTTAGATTATTAGATGGCGTTATTCACTAATATTGTTGTACTCAACCAACAGTCCCCTAAGTATAATTATTTTAATTTAAATAACTTTGATAGCGCAATCGTTGTATTATTATTATTATTATTATTATTATTATTATTATTATTATTATTATTATTATTATTTAGACACATAAACATTGGTACAAGGAGACACCAAATATATTTGTGCCACATAAACCATTCGATTTGTGTGAGGGTTGAGATACTGCCCAGGTGCCTAAACCGAAGCAAGTCGTTTTCTTAGGAGACCACACCCGGAGCCTTCAACCTAACGGTTTGATCCACAAGGCAGTGGAGCAAAGTAAGGAGATGCAGTTCAATGGTAGACGATGATCAACGAGTGGTTCATACACCATTTGTTTCTTCAGGATCCTGGAGCCAATGTGCACCATTGGTTTGGAATCAGGGTTTCCCAACTCTCCTAGATGGACTCTCTATTTCCACCAACCCAGTTAAGGCGCCGAAGATTCGCTCTTCGTCCTCTCAATTTCTTAAATAACAGTAATGCCGCGAGAAGTCAGTGAGTGGGACTTCCCCGTAAGTGGCTGTATGCTCGCGGCCATTTGAGAGCATTTCGAGAGGGAAAGCTGACTCTCTCCACTCTCGGCCGTACCTGTGCATGTTGGGGCTAAATTTGATTGAGAAGTTTCTAGATAGTATAAATGAAAGCGTAAAAACCGTGAAATAATAAATAATAAATAAAATTAGTGATAGAAATATACTCAAGCTAACAGTTCACCTGATATAAATAAAATTAATCAATCTGTATAAAAATTCAAAGCTGTGTTTTTATTGATAAGATGATAATGAGCAAAGAAGATAAAGTGCTGAACATAGTTCTTATTCTAGTTTATTAATTTTGAAAACAGTTTACTCACATAGAATAAAGGATTCCATAAGTGTAATAAAGTACTTAGATAAATAACAAGATCAATAAATATCAATCCTCTATGAGCGTTTGGAAATTTCATTCTATGTGATGGTGATTAATAATGATCATTCAGCTCAAGTAAAAAAAAATCATGGTATATTTAAAACCTATACAGTGGAACTCTGAATCAAATCTCTTCGGATAAATTGTGGATTAGCTTATTATAAACCTGTTGAGAATGGAAGTATTACCAGTCACCAGAAAAGTCATGAATGAATTATAGCTCGTACATCGGTTCTAGTGACCAAGCACTGACGTCATAGACACAACTAGTAGAATTAAAAGAATTCAGATATATAAAATTCAATGAGATCATATTATTAATTGTCCACCTATTTGGGATTGAAAATGAAAACAAAAAATATGTATCTTGTAGACGCAATAAAAGACAAAGCACCTTCGTAACACTGTTTTTGGAAGTACACCTACACATTAAAAAACTGACATGACAATAATCTAACCGGTTAGTGTTTAGATCTATAACCATTTTAGTAGATAAAATCATAACTAGAAAATACAAAACAGACTATAAATATACTAAATACAAATCTGCATGGTTATTGAGTGTTTAATGAATATTTAAACAGTGATTCATTTATACATGTTTGATGTTGATGAAATCTAATAATTTGGACATCTGATTTGGGGTCTTCGAAGGTAGAACAGTAATAAGATAGTTTATGGTGTATAAATAAATGTATAGATATACATGCATGTATTCTACGATTATTTTAATGAATAATCGGAATTGATGTTAAATTAAGGAATATGTTTGATCCACTTGTACATCTCTCACTTACGTTTAATTTTAAATAAATATTGAGTTTATCATTTGAGTTTACTAAGAATGTTGAACTGAATACATTTTTCAAAAGACTTAAGTTACTTCAAACAGAATAAGTGGTAGTTTAGTAAATCTGATAATTCATGCTTAAATAATTTTCTGTTAAATATGAACCAAAATAAATCCTAAATTCGCATAGTTCCAAAATTTTTAATGAAAAAAGTTAACTTCATGTTGTTTAACTTGTATCTGCTCATTGTTATTTAGAACTGAAATTGATTAGTCTCTTTTTGGCATATGTGCATTCTGTGCGGATTGTCTCGATATAGCCTTAAGTCACAAGTTTTTTAAACAAAGATGGATAGTAGCTAGCAGTGGAATGCAGGACGCGCGTTTCGACCTATTTGGAACTCGTCAGCTGAATGTACCTGCATCCAAGAGCTGATGTTCACTGCAGCACTCGAACCTATTATAAAACGAAAGATACATGATTTTGCTAGTAAATTACTCTTGAGTGGAATGATTGAAATACTTTAGCAAAATTTATCAGCCATTTCTTATTGCATGATTCTCAGAAATTTATATCTCTAGAAACAAGCTGAAGTAACTTATTTAATGAAGAAGGATATCAGTATTTTGTATTCTATCTAACCAAACCA